TTGGGGAAAATTGTGTTCACAGCACATAGCTCGTATCTTAACCACTAGACCGACACACCAGGAAGTAACTGTCTGGCTAGGAAATGGTGCAGCTCCTATCCCCCCCTGTAAAACCACAAATTGCTGTGTTTACACTTTGGTTTTTTGTGTTTTTTAGAACATTTGCTCTGATCTTTAGAGAGAGCACAGCTAGCTGGTTTTTTTTAGTCTTTGTGCTAATCAGCTGAAGCAAATAAGTTTATTTACCAAAATGTTAAAACTATTCATTTAAAACACTCCTGTGGAGGCTGTGTGGCGTTTCATGCTAATCAGCCTTCGTGCTGCCGTCTGCTTCTGGCCTCCGCCCCACTACACAGACAGACTGGAGAGGGACTGGTGATGGGACAAATGACAGAGACGAGAACAAAAGAGATGACACAAAATATAAATGAGATGACAGAGTGAAGTAATTGCATTAATTTTGATAGAATACGGCTACAATACTTCACTGTCTAGGTGCAACAGCACACGCATGCCTTGGAAAAAAGAATCTGAATCTGCTCCTTAACTTTCAAATTACCTTTCCCGATGTATATAATTCAGAAAAGTTTCATGCCCTTCAGTTTTAGTGCAACAGAAGAACTGATGCAATCCACAAAACTTAAAACTTGGGCTGCACCCCCAATAGTTGAATAGTCGAGTCATTAGCGGCGAGACCTGTCAGTCGACTGAGACTCTTCTGAGCCTTTTGTTTTTATTTTTTGTCAGCCAGTGTGCATTACAATAGGATGTAGCCCCAGCCTCCAGTAGTTTGTCGTCATCTTGTCCGTATTTTGATGTTGATGTGGTCGAAATGATCACTGAAATCCATGCCAGTTCATTGCCAAATTCTGACAATCTAGGCAATGTATATATTTAAAAATGAAAGAAAAAGAGTGAATATCTGAATAGTCCCAGAGAAGAGCTGATTGACAGTCTACGGACAAAACCCTTAGTCGGGTACAGCCCTACTTAAAACTGTCTGCTGCCATTTGACAGATGCTTCTTGTCTAGCCTGCAGTCGGGATCCAGTGCAAACGCATACAAGTCTTAATGTCAGCGGCACACACCAGTTCTTTGCTCTAAAGCCTGTAGCATAGGTATACCACCACAGCCTCTTTTTACTGTAGGTCACCCCCTTAATGTAACTCCTCCACCCCTTAATCAAAGAAGAAAGAACGAGTATACTTCAGATGCTCTGATAGGCTCTGTAGAACTGAGATGGCTGCTTTGAATTAAATTGCACCATATGAATAGAGCAGAGAGGAACTTGCAAGGGGCAAAAACATAATCCTTCTCACTGTGCTATAGAAATTCCTCAGACAGAGGCAGGATTTTTAGTTATTGTGTATATTACTCACAGAACACACTACACAGCTGACATT